TGCCCCTGGTGTGCCAGGGGAGGGGAGAGCAGGGCAGGGGCAGCCTGGCTGGGCTACTACCTGGCATCACCGAGACTGGCCCAACTCCTGCACATGCCTGGATGGAGGGATGCTCACCCCAGTTCCCAGCTCTTGGGGGGCCTGTGAAAGGGTGTTCCCAGACTCGGGTGTAGAAGCTGAGTACCAGCCTGGGAGCCAGCCCCTCCCTCCCCCTCAGGGGAGGGGAGAGCAGGGCAGGGGCAGCCTGGCTGGGCTACTACCTGGCATCACCGAGACTGGCCCAACTCCTGCACATGCCTGGATGGAGGGATGCTCACCCCAGTTCCCAGCTCTTGGGGGGCCTGTGAAAGGGTGTTCCCAGACTCGGGTGTAGAAGCTGAGTACCAGCCTGGGAGCCAGCCCCTCCCTCCCCCTCCAGCCCGCTCTGCTTGGGCTCCTGCCCTGGGGAGAGGTGTCTGGCTGCCGGCAGGGCCCCTGGGTCATGCCCACTGCGGTGCGGCTGGGTGCAACAGGGACTCGGGCTGACTCGTTCCCCAGGCCTGCAAAGGGGTCCCATGCAGCCCGGGGTCCCTGCAGCCCGGGGTCCCATGCAGATACCCCCTCCCTGCCCCTTCCTCTTCTTTCCCCGGCCTCATCTTCCCCAGGTAAAGGGTGCGCTGTGACCTGGTGCCTAGTCCTGGACTCCCGGGGGCTGTGTCCTGGCCCTCTCGACGGCTGCCTGTCCGCACTGCAAATGCATGTGACCCGGCTCAACACCCCTCGATTGCCAGCGTGGCCAGGGCCAGAGGCTGCAAAGCAGCCAGCAGCTACTGAGGGCTCTGACTGGCAACCCAGGCTCCCAAGGAGAGGGCTGAAAACTCCCGGCACACTTTTGCCTGGGGCCCAGACATTGCGGCAGGACTCGCGCGGGCTCCATGCTACTGCCAAGTTCTCTGGTCCACAAGATGCCGGCACCCAGGGCCCTGCAGCAGGGCCTGAGTCAACAGTGAGCCCCCATGGGCCTCTTAGAGCAGCACTAGGGCCCCAGCCAAAGGAGAGAAACGGGGACAAGATGGGGGGCTGTCAGTGAAAACCACTTGGTGCTGAAGGCATCTGCAACCACCTGGGAGCTCCAGGCATGTGATCTGCACTCCAAGGCCTTCTGCTCCCAGCCCCCACCCCACTGCTCCCAGACCCATGGCTCCCAGCAGCCCCCATGGGCCTCTTAGAGCAGCACTAGGGCCCCAGCCAAAGGAGAGAAACGGGGACAAGATGGGGGGCTGTCAGTGAAAACCACTTGGTGCTGAAGGCATCTGCAACCACCTGGGAGCTCCAGGCATGTGATCTGCACTCCAAGGCCTTCTGCTCCCAGCCCCCACCCCACTGCTCCCAGACCCATGGCTCCCAGCCCC